AAGTCAATTTTTCCATTATTACATAGTAATACTTTACAAAATATTGCAATTTAAACTTCACTAAAGATAAAACTTTTTTGTAAGAGTTGAACATATTCTTAATTTGTTGAACAGAGAAGAAATAATGTGGCATAAACACTTGTTGGAACATTTAAACAACTAAAAAGTAGTCAATTTTTCCATTATTACATAGTAATACTTTACAAAATATTGCAATTTAAACTTCACTGACGATAAAACTTTTTTGTAAGAGTTAAATATATACTCTTAATTTGTTGAACGGAGAAGAAATAATGTGGCATAAATCACTTGTTGGAACAAATTTGGCTCCTGTGAGACAATGTTTAAAATCAATTGAAAAACTAGATAAATGTTTAGTTTCATGCAGTTATTTTATTGAACAATAATATCTTAATATGGTATGTAAACTTGCGTCAAAAGAGGACCAGTAAGATGCAGATAACTTTTAATTGCTTTTCCTGTTCAGTTTAAGTGAACAGTTATTAGAATATAGACACATATATCCATGCATACATACAGATATATTAAGTTTAACATAAACAAAATAAACATCTAAAGGTAAAATATCTCTATACATTATTTTTCACTACATTTTATGTGTATGATGTGTGTATTACATCAGTAACATATTTTCATACTAGTAAAATTTTTTATTTTATCTTGGTTTTATAGCATGTAGGAGTTGGCAGGGATCCATAATTTTTCGGTGTTCTAATGTAAAGTAATTATTCTAATACAGCAAGTCATGAACTTTTATAATCTGCTCAAAATATATTTTTACAGTGTCTTGCATACAGCATGTAAAAGGTGAATTAATTGAGACCTTGTGAATTCTTCTTTGGATTCTTATCAGTTTGATAAAGGTTATATATAATTTATAAATTATATGAGTTGTTTTCATATAATTCCCATAGTGATGTCAATTTAATAATTTAAATAAGTTTACAAGATTAGATGAGATTGCAGTAATGTGAGGAATAATGTCTAGTTTCATATTCATGAATATATGAGTTTGTTGGTGTATACCAAACCAGATCATTATTTATCTAGGTGGATGTATTGGTTGTAGTAGGTTTTACTATAATACTAGTCAACAAATAATGTATTACACATGAACTGTGTGTGTGTAAAATGTACATAGATACTTCATTTGTAAACAATGTATTTAGACATTTTCAATTTTAGATTTGTATAGATTTAATCAGGATCAATATGTCAATGCAGTGCAGAAGATTTTCTGATTGAGCTTTGTGACTGAACTGGTGTTAATCAATTCTCTAATTTCAATTCAAAAGACATTTTTAGAGTGTGTGATTTTTGCACAATAACTGGGGGAATTTTGTTCTGAAATTCAGCATTGTTTCTCAGTTTTTCAGTATCTTCTGGAGGCATTTTATTTTCTAACTTATCCTATATTCCACAGGCATAATAAATACAGGATGTTTGGAGAGTGAAACTGTGACAAATAATAGAAATGGAGTTTACACAGAAATATGAAAGTGTGGATCAGTATTTAATGCAAATCTCATACCTCAACATTTGGATTTCATACCAAGATGTTTTATAATTGCACTAGCATTTTGCAGCAGTTAAAAATTAACTCTTTAGAAATGTCAAATTCAAGTCCAACTACTGTTAATGAGATGTTTTTTAGCACTTTTTAAAAGTATGTCTTAAATCTATATGGGCAGAACAAGCTGTAAAAGTTTATCATGACAAGGAATGGCTTATACATATTTAACTGTTAGCAAAATATTGTAAACAGTTACAAATGTTATTATGAAACTATATGATATTAGCATTATGAAATTCCTTGTATATAGATGTTTTAAGAATTTGGGGAAGTTTTCTTTAAAAAAATATATAAATAGTGACTGTTTTAAAGCTTTTATTATGGAATTTTTACTTTCATAGAAAGTGCATTGTAAGTTGTAAAATATTAAACAACATACTCAATGCTTTGTACTAAACACTGACACAAAAAGACAAAGGAGCCAGGCAGTAAATATATTTTGTGTTGCATTTGTTACAGTATTTTGCATATCAGTTGTGATGTTGATTTAATAATTTAGTGCAACAGGAAGGCAGTTTTTAAAAAATAAATTATGAAGAATGTAAAATACCAATAAAATGTTCCCCTACTACCTAACAGGATTCTGTGATTAAGCATGCTGAAAATTATGATATTGTAGATAATTCAGAATGTTTGACAAAGGTTTAAAATGCTGCCAGTAATGATTGCTCTTAAATAATGAATTTTGTTCCATTCCATGCATTACTGTGTACAGTTTGAATTCACCAGCAGGTAGTAAATT